ACAAAATACTCATTTGCCTAATAATTCTGCACTCCCTGTATACCCAAGTTACATAACAAGGCTATACAGTGGGGAACCAGGGGAACACAAAATGTTTTACATTCCCACTGGAACTCCAGTATAACTACAAACTGTAAATCGTATAGCAGACCAATTTCTTTAAAAGGAGAAAAGCTTTCAGTCCTAAAAAAAACATGCCATCCTTTATTTGTCTTTGCTACAGAACCCACAGACAATGCAAGTGTGAGCTTTGTGAAATACAAAGGGGACTACTATGTCAGCACAGAGACAAACTTCATGCACAGAGTGAACCCAGAGACCCTAGAAACTTTAGAGAAGGTAATGTCATTTGTTATGTGCAGTAAACACATTTCTTTGTCATTGTGTAGTCTGGTATAAACACAGTATACATCCTTATCATTCTGTTGTTTTGCAGGTGGACTGGAGTAAGTTCATTGCAGTAAATGGAGCCACTGCTCACCCCCACTATGATCCAGATGGTACCACCTACAACATGGGCAACTCCTATGGAAGAAGAGGTTTGTTCCTTGAGTCAAGTATCCACACTAAAGTCTGCACAGTTACATGGCTTTTTTAAATTTATTTATTTATTTTTATTTTTTATCTTGATTTAGAAAAAAAGAAATGAACTGTACTTTGTTGGAAGAAAGGAGGTGCAGCAGTTAGCAGTGTCAAATCACAGCAAGTGTCTGGATTCAAATCCACTGGCCGACTTAGGTCTTTCTGTGGAAAGTGCGTCATCTCTGCCTCTCCAGGCATTCCAGCTTCCTCCCAGAGTCCACAGACATGCACATTAGATTAACTGGGTTGGGTTAATTAGGTTGATTCTAAATTGGCCATTGATATCACTAGTTGTCTGTCTCTGTTATCCTTGCAACAGACTGGCAAACGGTACAGGGCGTACCCTGCCTCTCACACATGACAGTTATAGGCTCCAGCTCCCCCTTCCTCAGCAACTCTGAATTAGATAAGCTGAAGAGGATGGATGGAAAATGGATGGAACAATGTTTTGTAAAACACTTCTCCTTCCAGGAGTCCTCTACAATATCATCAGAGTACCTCCCGAGAAGACGGAAAGCAAAGACACCCTGCAAGGAGCCAAAATCCTCTGTTCTATTGTGCCTGCAAACAAGTCCCATCCCTCCTACTACCACAGCTTTGGTAAGGCAGCACATCAGGGTACCACTCATTATGCTTGTTTTTTTTTTTCATTTGCTACCCTCATCTGCAAAGCTTGGTAATCTTTTTCTTCCTGCTTCCAGCCATGTCTGAGAACTACGTGGTGTTCATCGAGCAGCCAGTCAAGATGGACCTGCTGAAGATAGTCACATGTAAATTAAGAGGGAAGGCTCTGAGTGATGGAATCTACTGGGATCCCAAACAGGAGACAGTCTTCCACCTCGTGAACAAGCACACAGGCGAGGTGAGATGCGATCAGTAGCGGTTTTAGATACAGGCGACACGGGCGGTTGCCCGGGGCGGCATCGTGGTGGGGGGCGGCATCACGGGCATCGGCAAAAAAAAAAAAAAATGCTCGTACTCATGCTGCCCCGACGTCAGCCAGCGCATATTGGGAATGGCATAGGCACCGATCGGTTTTCTATCGCCCATTTGCTGGGAGTAAGGGCGCCCTCCGTTTGCGAGGTGCGCCTGCTGTTGCAGCGCAGGAGGAGGGCGGGGGGATTCTCTGCCTGGCTGGAGCAGCATCTAATAACCAACTCGCAAAATAAAACAAAATATAAAACAAACCAACAAACACGAAAACACCAGACATTATATACAGACTTATAATTTGCACCAGTTATTCGAAATTCTATACACGAAAAGTGAGCGCGAGAGCCCTCGGTGCGCCTGCTCTGCTGCTGAAGTCAAAGTAAACTTTATTGTCATCTCCGCTACATCCAGTCCAGTATATAGAGAGACGAGACGACGAGGCTCCAGTTACAGCAGTGCAAGTAAACAAACAATATATATAAAAGAGTAAGAAAAAATATACACTTTAGGACCAGGGGTAAAGGGATCAATAACAATTTAAATTTACAGTTTGATGATTTAAAGTCTCACACACAACCCTGAAAGGGGAGGGGGGCCATTTTTTTTAACTGCACTTCAATATTATATTTATATACAATAACAACTGATGTTCCTGTTGATTGATTATGCAAGAACTAGCAAGCCTGCATGTAATGTAAATGTAAAAAGAGGCAAAGTGTGGGCAAAGACAGAATCCGTTTAAATTGGGTGTGGATTTGAAACATTGGTTGAATTCCACTCCAGGCCATTAGGGGGCCACCTAGGCTGAAAATGTTCATCTCTGCTTAGCGCCACAAGTTTGCAATGACATTGCAGTAGGAAAACTCCCTAGAGTGGCCCCATTTAAAGGGCTACACAGAGAAAACTAGGTGATTCAGAATGTAATGTAACAGATGTAATAAGCATGTTGTGTGTACATATTAAGCTTTTATTACTCCATGTTGATTTTATTTTAAAGTTTTTAACATAATTTGTCTTCTGAATAAGTGATGGTGATGTTGAGGAGTACTGTCCTTAAAGGAGAGTGTCCTTGTAGTTTACAGCTAAATGAAGTACTTGACAGAAATTCTGTAACTGTATACGCTGTACCGCAGGTCAGCTCAGTGAAGTACCACACCAAAGCCTTCTCCACCTTCCATCAAATCAACGCCTTTGAGGAGGATGGATTCTTGATGCTCGATATGTGTTGCTCCGACGACGGCCAAGCCATCAACAACTACCTCATCCAGAACTTGCGTAAATCAGGAGACGCGCTGGATGAGGTCAGTATAATTGCATGAACACATTGTTACAAAATAAATGTAGCAAGAAAAACAGATTTTTTTTTTCTTTTTCACTGTACTTAAGTTTTGGCATAATAAATATTTATAACCGGGGAAGACAATATTGGCTTTGCTAATTTACTAAATAATTTAGTGAGAAAGCTATTCAGTGTTAGCTTTATGGATTTCAGTCTGTTCAGATTTGAATTAACCAAATATCTAAAATGTGCAAATATTGTCCCTCTCAGGTGTACAACACCTTGTGCAGGGTTTTCCCTCGGCGTTTTGTTCTGCCACTGCATGTGACCAATGAAACCCCAAAAGACCAGAACCTGAACACTCGACCCTGCAGCAATGCATCGTGTGTCAAAATCGGTGACGACAAGGTGAGTTGACTTCTTGCTCATGCCTTCATTTACAGTTCACCTGTAGCGCACATGCTGGAGGCAGTAACCAGAAATGAGTTGTCTTGACAACTCATACAGTGTTGTACAAGTCAACAAGCAGGCAGTGACAATATTAAGCTTCTTATTTTGAAATTAATCTAAGTGGCAGAAGTAAAGCGTTCCCTTGAGTAGAAATGTTAACGCCACACTACGGTATGAACAGATGCAGAAAATTAAGTTAACAAAATGAGTACTAGGTTTTTGGGAGGGGGCGGGGGTTGAAACGCATAAAAAAGGCTTTTCATAAAATTAGAAAAGCCTGCTTAAAAGTAACCGCTACATTTGTAAAACTACTGATTAGTGAATTTGGGATATTTAGACTGATGGGTAACATCAGCACAAAATCTATTCTGTTATCTTAAGAGATGTTTCTGTAGTGATTTTTATCATTTTTGCAGTTTGTGTAGTTTTTGACCTGTGTGGATGGAAGTTTACATAATTTCTAGTATGTTAGAACAAATGTATGGCAATCAGAGTTCACATAACTAGGTTGCACATGAGTCCAGTTAAAGGTGAAGCTCATGGTCACAGAGCTCGCACGCTCGACTGACCTTAGGTGGTAGTTCATCCTCTTTTTCAATAGGTGTTCTGCCAGCACGAGGATCTCCACGGAGAAGACCTCCATGAGTACGGTGGCCTGGAGTTCCCGCAGATCAACTACGCCAGATGTAACACACATCCGTACCGTTATTTCTACGGCTGTGGCTTCAGACATCTGGTGGGAGACTCTCTGCTCAAGATGGACCTGAAGGACAAGACATTCAAGGTGTGTATGATACTGTGCAAAGGGCTCCACCTCATTTAAACATAGGAGACGATGAGAGAGCGTTAGTGAATTTGATCACATTCACTGCTGTTATACTGTGTAAATTATTAGTTAACATAATTTAAATGGTATATTGGTTTATTGCAGCTTCTTTCTGGTTAATATCAACTGTCTTCCTACACTGCTGCAGACAGTTGTCTATACATTCAACCACATCTGGGCTGTCACAGTAAAAGCTCATGATCTTTCAGAGTTAAAGTTTTATGTATTGTTACTTAGTAACAATACATTTTATTTTATTTATTTAAAACTAGGCAAAACGATGCCTCAGATGAACTACACGTGAAATATTAAACCATTACTCTTGTTAAAAGTAAGGCCAAAAATATGGAAGCCCGTTTCCGCCACTAAAAAAAAAGGATCCATAACTCAAAATTTCGAGTTACTTTCTCGAAATTTCGAGAAAATAACTCGAAATTTTGATTTATTAACTCAAAATTATGATAAAAGCAACTCGAAATTTTGAGTTATATTTCTCGAAATTTCGAGTTACTTTTACTAGCTTTTTTGTTTTTATTTAGTAGCAGAAACGGGCTTCCATACAAAAATGTAGAAGTAACATTGGGAAAAATTAACTACATCCTGACTGCTTCCATAGCAACTGTGATTGAAGTGGTGAGCATTGCTGCTGCTGGGGAGCATTCGTGTGTGTGTGTGTGTTGTGTGTGTGTGTGTGTGTGTGTGTTGTGTGTGTGTGGTGGTGTGTGTGTGTTGTGTGTGTGTGTGTGTGTGTTGTGTGTTGTGTGTGTGTGTGTGTGTGTGTGTGTGTGTGTGTGTGTGTACACGTACCAGACTGGAACTGAGCCAGTAGTTGAAGAAGCAAAATTAGGATGGCGAACAAGAGCAACTTTAAAATGTGGAGTTAAATTGAAAAACACTGACACTTGTGAAAATGATCATCCACAGGTCTGGTACCAGAAAGGTTTCTACCCCTCAGAGCCTGTGTTTGTGCCGTCACCTGATGCTGTGGAGGAAGATGATGGTGTCATCCTCTCGGTGGTTCTCACCCCGTCACAGGTAAGAGTCTCGGCTGCACAGACGTAGCAAACACATCTACCTAATGTGCTGAACCTTGTTGTGTCTCATGACGTTATCAGAGGTTTATGGTTTCCTGAATTTGAGGTACCAGCATGTCTGCAAGTCCGCCTAAGCTTGATTCCTTTCTGCCTCAAATTCTTTAATCAGCTGGACACGATCTATCATAAATATTCATGTGGGTGACGAGCAGAGTCATAAATATTCATTGCTGAATTTACGCGAGTGAATTTTTGGAATTTAAAAACAGAACTTTCTAAAGCCTTCAAGATTAATGGCAGAAAGTGCACTTGCTGGCTACATTAATGGTGCCAGTAAAAGATTTTCTGAGTAATGTAAGTTTTTTTTTTTTTTTTCTTTCCCAAAAATGGTGTTCTACTACATCCCAGTGTCCGTCTTCCTGACAGCACATTGGGCAGCCTGAATCAAAACTGAGCATTGTGCTATTGTGTCCATCTCTATAGCAAATGTCAATTGTTCATTTGCCCGTCTTTTTATTTTAAAATCCTAATCAGTTTTAATTACCCCTGAAACACTGGATGAGGACCCTTTTAAAATTCTATTGTACACACAATGCGTTCTGGTCCTTGAATTTAATCAAAGCTGCTATTCTAAAGACATGCACACCTCTCAAGCATACCTCCACCTGGTGTACTGAACCTAAGTGAAGTCTTTCACTATGTGGTGGTGTGTAGAGAAGTGTGATTTGTTTTGTGTGTGTTAACGCCATCAAACGTTTCTCTCCAGGATAAAGGGACCTTCCTCCTGATTTTGGATGCCAAGACATTTGAAGAGCTAGGAAGAGCCTATGTGCCTGTTAACATGGCTTATGGCTTCCACGGTACCTTCAGTGCCTCTGCATAAACTTCTTGTTTTTTAGACTCCCCATGATTCATGGGCCATGAATACAACGCATCAATAAGCATTAGCCAGTTATATATCAGATGGTACTGAGTTGCTGCTGCTTTTTATGCTTAACATATATACTGTCTACAGATATTCACTACAGGTGAGGATCACCAGACATTATGTTATCACCATATTTCACTGACAATACAAGCAGTGTGCTGAGTATTACAATAACGGGATTTATCATATCCAGTAAGATTATGTTATCTCTCTTTAGTAGTTTGCTGCAAATAGACGTTGGAGGTTGCTGTCCCATTTTTACTCTAATGACTGAGCTGTTAGCTTGTTCTGAATTAGGAGGTAGGTAGCTTTGTCAAGTGAAGTGTGATCAGTGTTGGATGGATTTTCGACTGGTAGGACTTGTAGGGTACAATTGAAAGTAAATCTGTGGTCACCCAAGTGCCAAAATGTTTTGTTTTTTAAAGAAATTTATTCCAAAAATTTTTACAAATCTGACTTTTGTACTGTTTTTTTTAAATATAATTTTTTAATTAAAGTTTCAACATTAACACTTTTCAGAGGTGAAGTGTCTGGATTCTTTTCACACACTGAATCAGTCAAAACACATGGTTGAGAATAATGTACATAAGTACGATTTCTCACATCAAATATTATTTTACAGTCTTTTACTGGCAAGTGGTACATTTAAGGCCCCAGGTTTTATAAAGTCAACATGTGTTGCTAATTTTAACAATTTGTATAGCAATCAAATTTGCATCCTTGACATTAATATAGATATTAATCGTTAATTTGTTATTACCTTTGTTCAGACTACTTGTTTCACAGTATACATTAAGCCCATAAATAGACTAAGTGGCACACAAATCACTTAAACTAAACAGACCCTATTTTACATAACAATGGGGTCTTTTTAATTGAGAATTGAAAATTGTATTAAAACTAAGTGGCATTTCTTTACCATACAGTTTTTAATTCTGTTAACTTCTGCTCCACTGTAGGGAAAAACATAACTCTTAATCCACAATTTGACAGCTTTTAAGTTCCAAATTACTCTTTTGTGTTACAATAAAACATGCTACATGTTTAAACATTTAAAAGACACATCGAGGTCTCCAGCTCCTCAAAAGTAAGGATTGTCTTTAAATAAATGAATAAAACACAATTCCATTAGTGATGGTATAAACCTAAAAAATTATTTACAAGGGCTCAACTAGAAGGCTAAAAAAAAAAATTGGTGCTAATAAGATAATTTTGTCACAGTTAAATAACACATTTCTGCATTAAGTGCCAACTCTGATTATGTAAATCTTATGTAAGCACATGTATTTTACATGTAAGTGATAACTGTGTGTGCCATTTGTACTTCCTCCACTATTCTAATGCATAATACACATTTATAGTGGTCTAAATTTGAAACGCATGCTTTATTAAAGTCTGGGTGCGCTTCACCCAGATTTCAGAAGTATACAGAATATCATTCACAGACGTATTTCTGGGGTAAATGTAATAGGCTAGGAAATGGTTTTACTGTGTAGAGAATTTATTAGAGGTCCTCTCTAAACTATGACTCAATAGAGGCTATTTTTCAAAAACCGATTAAACTCTCTGCACTTACACTAGAAGATGAATTTGAAAACCCATGAATGAAAAAGCTCTACACAGTTGTAACTGAGGTGTGGCTTTTTGGAGGTTTTTTTTGGTTTCTTTGCTGTTTATAAGAGATCCACACATCATCCACTAGAGGTCAGCATGTGATGACATTTACCTCCCTTCAGTCACGTTCTGGATCTGCAGAGTTGGAACAACGACTCAGTACCTGACCAGGATTTATTTAAATTAATTTATAAATTAAGAAAAAAAGTTGTATACCACTTTGTGTCGTGTGTGTTTTGTAACCATGTTCGCTTTCTGTATTGTAAACCTCGTGAACTGCAAGGCTGTTTTCAGCTTTGCGATTGTGAATCGTAACGGACCCATTTTCTGTCTCATACAACAGTCTGAACAAAGGGGTGAGGCAGGGGCAACGTCTCTGAAGGAGGTGGGCTCAACATGGCCACACGGGCTATAAGAGGGATCAAACCTGTGACCCTGTGACAGTGGGACAATCTGTAACTGCCAGCCCACCCTGCCACTTCAAAAACACACTGCAAACAGTGGAGGAGCCCGGCATTGAACTTCACAGGGGTTATTTCCAAATCTGTGACCTTAACAACTGTATTTATAGGACACTTGGAAAAGAGTGCCTCTTTGAGGGGGAAAAAAAAGATAAGATAAAAAAAAAAAAAAAGGGTAGAACTTTTTTTTTAAAGAGGGGAAAAAAGGGATTTCAAACAGACTATTATCGAAACTGTGGATTAAAGCAGAGTAACTCAAGCTGCACTTTTCAGTCTGCGTGTGTGGCCAGAGAACAGATGCGCATTTTCATAGAGGATTGTACAAAGGGGAAAAGGAGAAAAGGAAAAGAAAAAAACTGTTCCCAACAGCCGGTTAAAGCAACAGGACCCAAAACTACACCTCCAAATGTAGAAGTTTGGGGGGCGGGGTTCTCTAACTAGTTTTTAAAGTTTTGGGATGCTTTTGTAGGACAGAACATGCATTTTTAATATCTGCAGGAGGGCTGCAGATGGCACTTTGTTACAACAATGGTGATTCAAAAAAAAACTTTAAAACAACAACGCTGCGGCTGATCAAACCTTCAATCAGTGCTCATCACTGGTGTGTTGTTTTGGTATTGTTTTATCTAAATAGAAAAGTTAGTGACTAGAATAACGACGGCACTAAATAAATTAGAATTATGTGATTTATTTTTACATCCACCCTGTTTAGTCAGAACAGCTCAGGGGTCAACTGTTTCAGATTTCTTTTCTGCAGGAAAAACGTGCTGACAGATACAGCTGCTGTCTTTCCTGTAGCCCATCCTCATATTAATCAGTTCAGTTAATCAACTTTCTCCTCAAAGTATCCTGCTGTCTTTTCAACACACAGCAGACACTCGCAATAGAAATGTATACCTAAAGATTCTCGCTGAACTCATCTCAGTCTTTTACAGCACAAACATTAAGCAGACAGCAAGTAACATGAACGACTGTGCTCATATGCACTACCCACTGTTTGATTTGCTGCTACAAAGCAGCGGGTTCTGTGGAAGCAGAATAATGTCTATTGAAGCAGCCGGTAGAGTCTCGGGTCACGAATTGTGATTTTCCTGGCAGGAAAGCGGTTTGTGATCAGTCGTGGCATAAAAAGCACAACATTTATTTTTAGCTTGTTTTTTGATGGTGATATGAATAACTCTAAAAAGCTGCTGCCTTTTGTATAAAATCACAAATGTGTGAAGCCAGACACCCCTGAGAACAGTGCTGCTGCAGTCTTCTCAGGAGGGTTACTATGTTATAGAGAAGCTGGATTTTAGTCTGGATATTGTTGTATTATATACAGCAGACTACAGACTGACTACAGAGTGTAATAATGTAAATATAGTTTAACTGCATGTATTACCATTTTGTTTTTTGGCCTTTAAAAAATAATTACTTTGACTAGAAGATGAGCCCTTAATGTGCATTATTGCAATACATTGGTTGTGATAAATTTTGCAGGTTATGCAGGCAACATGAGTTTATATTTTAAGCTCCACCTGACCAACAAAGTCCAATATTCTTTTTTTTTTTTTTAATCTTTGGTCTACTCTTCACGTCTTTGTGTTTCTATCATTTAGTCTTCAGTAAGTACTCGTGCTTTGCGGTGAGTTTTTTGTCCATCAATGGCTAAAAGCAGCATCTGGAATCAATGCAGAAAGCAGTGAGGTTGAACTGAAAGAGCAAAGTTGCCATTTGGGAAACCAAAACAATGTGCTGAAAGAGACTAAAGATCCCAGAGTTCAGGAGAACTGACAGACATCACACCAACAATCCTCATCGATCTTTAAGCTGTTAAATACATAGAAAGTCACTATGCAGGATCGTTGTAACTGTTTGCTTTGTACCAACCACAAACTCACTCACAAAATACATATATAGAAATATGCTGTGATTTACCATAAATATTTCACTCATAAAAATTAACCGTGGCAACATCATAGAGAAAAAGAGCGTCTCCCAGTGTGTTTTGATATGTTTTCCCTACACATGAAAATTCAAATTTGGCACTTTCGCCCAACCACACGATTGTTTTCATGTGTTTTGTTGGAGCTCGGCCCAGTCGGACATTGGGTAAAGATGGATGCTACATTAGCTCAACAAACACGCCCAGCAAACATTTTGATAGTGAATGTCACTGTTCTCTTAGTCGAAATATAGAAATGAAAGTGGTAAATGGGCTGTTTTGTTATAAAATGCTTTTCTACTCTATGGGAGCCCTCGGAGAGCCTCATTCATACAAAAAAATATGTACAAATATTTCTCTACACCTGAGTGCTTTCAGTCTCCCATTTACACACATTCATACTCTGATGAATGCATCAGAGAGCAACCTGGGGTTCAGTATCTTGCCCAAGGATACAGACTGGAGCAGGAAGGGATTGAACCACCAAACGTCCTTAGGGGATGACTGACTCTACCCCCTGAGCTTAAGCCATCCTTGAGCTTAATGGACTTTCAATCAAGTTTACAAGAATTGTTTAAAATCCTCCTTTCATCAAATGTGAAAAGATAAAATTCTCACTTGAGCGAAGAGCAAATGTGTGCAAAGCAAAACCATCGCGATGGAGATTTAAACCGATGACCTCTCACTTCTTAGTCAACTTAGCGAGCCAACGCACACCACACCACAGATTTATAATGTTGACGTGGAGCAGAGAGATTGCTCAAGCAGCCAATGAGACAGAATGTCCATGTAAATATATGTAAATGCAAAAACACATGAGGGTCTGACTGGGATGTTACTGTACATGAAAACAACATCAGCGTCTGTCAGTCTGTTTACGCGGTCATGCTGTGACCACGTTTGAATCTCTGCTCGGCGATTACTAAATAAAACATACAACAAAATCAGATGTAAAAACACAATCAAATCTGCAAATTCTTGACCTCTTTTTGAGTGAAGGCGGAGACCGCTTCCAGGCGCAATAAATAAAACTAAGGAGGGACGTCAGTGAAGCGGTGGGGACACGCCCACACAGCTCTGAGCAGGGGTCTAATCAGTGAAAGTGAAAACACCTGTGTAACTGTACCGTGTTCGCGCTTTTAAATCTACATAAACCTGCAATGATCTAAAGGGGACTAATTTCTGGTGTGCAAAAGGAGGCTGCAGGAGGCTATTTAACAGAAGGAGTAGGGACTACACATGACGCTTAAAAAAAAAAACAGACTACAATTACTGCTTTGTGGTTGCGCACCTTTGTAAACCCATCAAGCTGCAGACTCATAATATCGTAGGAGTCTGAAAGGTGGGCACAAAGATTACTGTAACCAATTTAATATCTAAAATATGGTCCCAATCTGCCTTTTTATGTCGATATCACATCGTATCAATCGCATCGTTTGTGTGACTTTTTTTCTTTTCTTTTCTGTTGAGTTATGAGACCACATGGACCTCGGAGCACAATTCTAATAAGTTCATTCTTGAGTCAAAGCGAGAGTTTGTGCCAAATTTGAAAAAAAATTCCCTTAAGCTGTTAAAGACAAGCTATGTTCAGGAGACCGGGTCAGACTTAAGGACACAGAAAACGCACAAAACATAATAAATATGGCGTTACTTGTGCGTTGTTTAGCTTAAACAAAATAACAAAAGGAAATTTGATTTTTAAAAAATGACGCCATTATGTTTATGTATGTCTGCCTGTGCAGGTGTAGCTCATGAGAATCTTCAGCTCCAGGAAGGCTGAGTAAGAATTTAGTAGTAAATGGTCATTTTCATTGGATTATTATGACAGCGTTTCATACAAATGTCTAACAGAATAACATATTGAAATGATAACTCGAGGTCAACTTTGCTGTTACATCATATTTTTCTGCAAATAATACACTTTCCCTGGCGTTCAGCTCCATAGCTCAGCAGCAGAAGTATACATAAAGTAAGTATTTCACATTTTGCAGGTTACTGAGTTAACTCGGAGGCTGAATGAAATTTCTAACAGGTGCGGTATCTTTAATATGTCTTTATGAAGGATAAATAGGGTGTGAATAATAAAAGTAATAGTATCTGAGTTTCTATGAAGCTGCTTTGATTTCAGGATGCCGGTATATGAAAAGTTATTTAGCATTTATTTAGCATTTCAGTTACTACAAAATGTAAGTAAGACAGTATTTATTTCACTTTGAAAAAGCTGTTGTTGTGTTAAGGTTAAGCAAGTCTTGGAGATAAATGTGCCTACCATGAAAAAAAAGTTTCAAGAATTTATTTGAAAAAGCACAGAGAATTCGAACTTACTGACCCTGTCATTGAAAAGAAAAAAGTCTTTTTTTCCCACCTGTCAGGTTAAAAAAAACCACACACACACAAGATATTTCCCGACAGATTTGTTTTGAGATGCACGTCATATTAACAATTGTACAGTGTGTTCCCAATTCGTAACAACCGTCTTTTGAGGAGCATCTGACTGCTGAAACAGAGTTAAGTTTTTCACTTCTGCTCCTCCTTTGTGCTGCATTCTCATGATAATCACGCACAGGTGAGGAACCCTATTTCCAGTCTAGTCTGTTTTCAGTTCATTAGTACAGTGAGTGTGCTGTGTATGTGTGCCTGTGAACACTACTCAGAATCAAGAGCATCCTTTGACCTCAGAGCACTGTGTATGATTTGTCAGCCTGGCAGTTCCCTGGCATGCGTGTTCTGTGGACTTGCACACAAAAAGCAAATACCCGTACACTAAACCCCTGCTGCAGTGTTTTCAATACATCCAGCCTGATTCACGTTAACCCATAAAACATGTCTGACATATTAATCAGGTCTGCATGTGGGGGTAGCTCTACTATTGCGCTGCTGCTCAGGGCAGGGCTCTCATTGGGCCATCTTACGCATCCTAGCGGCCAATAAGAGAAGGCTGATTCTCTCCTCTCCTAGCAACAAGACTCCTTCTCTGCGAGCGAAGCAACCAGCAAACTGACACCTATAATTTTACAATATGAATAATTGTAACTTTACAGTGTTGCAGAAGAAGCAGAGAAGCAAGAGTCTGTCCCTTTCCACATCGAGGGAACATCTTTGTTTTCTTCCTTCCTGCCTTTTCCTCCCTCTCCCTCCTCTTCTCCATCTTGGCTGCAGCCATGCCTCTGAGTGAATTCAGGCAGCTCCCATCTTACCATCTTAAAGGAACAGCCCTGAATATTTTTTTTCTTTTTGTTTTTTGTTTTTTTCTTTCTCTTCAAGGGCATTGTGGGTAATGGTCTGTACTTGTTGACCTCACAGCGCTGAATGGCGGGGCCTCTCTCAGGAGGGAAGGAATACCTTGGCACAGAGCTATCTTTTCCCTGAGACACTACCAACCTCTCAGCTATGAGCTTCTCTTTCTGTGCAGATGTTCCAGCTACAGCTCGGCTTGTTTAAAGAGTTTCAACAGAAAACAGAATAATAAAGGCAGCTGAATATGTTCATGCAGTATTACTACAGAACAGATAAAAGACAGGAGCAAATTCTGTCATGTCAGATGAAAACGAAGGAAATGTTTGGCCTAATTGAAGGATTGCTGTACTCTTTAATGACTTGGCTGCGGTTCTTGCACAGCACCTGTTGCCAGGCTACAGCAGTGCACGTGTCCGACCCCTGACCCCAAATGCATTCCTGTCCTTGCCCCTCTGGGAGTTAGGGAGAGCAGAGCACATGTTACATGTCTGCACAGCAGCCTGAAACAACCAGAAATGACTTGAATTTTTCAGCTATCATATGACTTGTTATGGGCTGCAGTTTGCTGTGCTAGAGATAAAAAGCTGTCTTTTTCCCCCCCATGCATGCTAACTCAGTCTTTGTGTATTCAAATTAGGCTCGAAAGCTGCAGGGCTGAATACCTGAAGAGAAATGCCCGCACTCAAAAGTGTCATGGCTGTGTGAAATTTGACATGTGGCAATTATAGCAACAGTCCGACCTTACACTTGCTAGACTTCTCAAATTTAGCAGAACAATATCTCATGGTCATTATAGGTCAATTGGGGTGGGATGCGCAAAGTGTCTGGCGTGTTGAGATGAAGATAATTAAGTACCCATTTGACCTCGTGTCCTTTTCAGCATCTTCGGTCGAGTATCTAAATTGTCAAACAGCAGGGAAAAAATCCCCCACAGAGCTCGTTTTGCCCAGTTTCAATAAAGACGGACAAGAAGAAAGCACTCGCTCTTTGAAGTGCGTTCCCTCCGTCTTGCTTCTGCCCCACCTTCTGTCCAGTGGAGCAAACCGTTGGAGTAGGAGTTGCTCTAACAGACAACCAGAGTTTAACCTTAGGTGACCCTTGCTCTCATCAGACCCGCCCTCTTCTGGAGGAATGCTGCTGATGGGAGTTTTTAATATTCCCCGGCCCTGTGTGTCCTCAAATGTGGCGGTGCGGCATTAACACAAGCTGACACCACAGATTAGCCACAGACATCAGGAATGCTGCGGCCTTTTTGTGCCACGTGGATTTTGGCCAAAAGAGCCTTTGGTTGCAATGGCCACAAAGACCTGCGAAAAACAAGTCCATGACAGAAACGCGGAGACTCCTCAGTGAGGCTGTCTCGCGATTCGCTAGCCATCAAGGTACAAACCTGTGGTCGGTTTCTGTGCAAAGGTAAGACTGCACAAGCGCCAAATTGAACGTGCACTTCTGACAGTCAAGATCACAGTGGGTTTACATGTAGTTTGGCTAATTTTGGTTCACTTGAAATGATTTGCTTCTGTTTCTATTTAAACGTAGACATCGGAAGCTTCTGAACATCTGGATACAGTGTGGAATCCATTCATCACCTGTAATTTCTGTATGCATAAACTGCTATTACTTTAATTCATATTGCTCATGCTGGTATCCCACCTTTCCTCTCAGCAGTCTTACTCTCTGCACGGATAATTCCTTTATCCTCATCCTCAGCAGGGGATTGGATTATTTGATGCTTAGAGATAGTATTTCATAACGGAGGTATTTTACTGCACGCGGGTCGTGTTTCGAAAGTTCTTGAAGGATCACATTTATACTTTTTCATCTTCACATACCATTTGAGCTAAGTTCTGCGTGACATGGGGCCATAAAACCTTTCTCCCTGTTATTGTAGGATCCTTACTTTACAATATAAATCATCTTCAGACAACTGTTGGCGTGATTTGACACTATATAAATAAAACTGTGTTGAACTAAAAAATAACAGAGTTTAGGTCAAACTAACGACCAGACTCATTGTCTCACTAACTGTTTGCTTGTTGAGCTGTTGTAAAAGCATGTGTGATAAAATGTCTTTAGCAAAGGTTTTAGCAATTTGGAAAAATTTCCTCAGGTGGTAGCGCGCATCTTACTTGCCATCCAGAGACTGTGTGTCACAGCTGTGAAGCACGTGACACCAACACAACAGTTAAGCAGGCCACAGAGAAAGCTCCTAAAGTCTGACTAGCTACTCCGACACAGAGTCAGAGCAATGGGTAATCTGTTTGTATTGCTATAAATCTGACCTGGCAATATGAACAATATTACAACCAATATCCTGAAAAATCATAAAAATGATTTGAGAAATATACACCAAACCCTGATATCCGAGCCATTTCTTTGAGCCTTCTGTAAATAAAACAACACTTTAAAGGTTACACTGCTTCTGTGTTAATCTCTAGTCCCCTCGCGCTGTGCTTGCATCTTCTCTATTGTAAATGCTAGATGAATGAAAGACGCCTGTTGGAGTGAAAGTTTGTTCTATGCGACATTCACCAACGCACTTCTTTTAATTTCAGATTGTACACAACTAAATTCCTTGATTTTATTCAGTGGCCTGCAAATAAAAGCAGACTGAGTTTAAAAAAAATAGGTTACATTATCAAAATGATGAACCAGGTTTTTATCCAGGCAGATATTTCAACCTTGGTTACGTTTGAATTGGATGCTTATATCAGGCTCCCATTCTGCTCAGCGAGACCTTTTTAAAGAGAGAAAGAGATATATTGTGTGAGGGAGAGGCGAGTTGTTTTAATAATAAAAGCTTTATCATAGCTTTTATTTTACACATTTATATGGCAACGTTGAGGTTGTAGTCATGCACACAGCTTTCTCTTTTCTGCTGTTTTTAACTAGGACTGTATACGCAAGATGGATGTAGCCACAGTGGCATCACTGCTAACTAGCAGCTTCGTTAATTCGCTTAGGTTTTAGTGCAAAACACAGATGCAGATATCTAATGATTGAATCAAATACAAATAAAAAAAAGGAGAAATACACTCACCAAACCTCATGCACAAATTTCTTCAATTGCTGCACTGCACAGCAAACTGCATTAACTGTCATAATTCTGTTAGAAAAAATCCATAGGTAACAACAACACATGTTTATTTATCTTATAAGCGAGGGACTGTATATCTCTACTCTCATATTTTCAGTGCAAACAGCCATCCCTCTAATTTTCAGCTAACAATCCTGAAGTGGGAGTTGTAAAAATAAATAAATAAATAAAAATAAAATAACTGTACAGTGATTATGAAGGGGGAAATTAGCTACAGTGAAAGCATTTTGTATCATCTTTTAAGTTGGGCCGATTAGTTTTTGGTACTTTTAGCTTGCTTTGAATGTCTTGGCAGCAGATATTTCGATATGATGCTTTCTACTATAATTTAACAACAAGTTTTTGCAATTGTTTTTTAAAAATTG